CAAATCTATTTGTCTAGTTTTTTGGTAGTGGAGCCTCCCGCAGGGGGGCAGAACCCACTGTTTCCACGCATACACTTTTCCACGCGAAGCGAGATTCCACATGGGTTTAAAACTTTCCACGCAAAGCGAGGTTCCACGCAAACCTATTTGTCTAGTTTTTTGGTAGTGAAGCCCCCAGCAAGAGGGCGGAACGCACTGTTTCCACGCATACACTTTTCCACGCGAAGCGAGGGTCCAAATATAAAAGCACCTCGGTTTGTGAAAGGCGAGGGGACTCACAGTTAATCAGCACTCTAAAGTTAGGACTTTTCTGTTAACGCTGTTACTGTCTTTATACTCCATTTCCTCGAAAACTATTATTCGTACGGTGAAAATGTGTAAAACCTAAAATGTTTATCTCTGTGAGATCTAAAATTTTTGTCTAAAACATTTATCATGATTTTTCGTATTTACTGAAATAAACGTAAAAAACTATAATTTTTATGGGTTTTTCATGATTTTTACCATGAAAATCAAGTAGTCGCCAATTTTCACTATGATATTCGTAATCAGCGCGTCAAAATACGTAAAAATACTGAGTTTCAAAAAAATCGGGGATGAGTATTTTTCGGAATTTTATCCCATTTTTTATGTATTTCTAGTCTCTTCAGAAATCTGAAAAGAATTTAATTTTTATTAATTATATTATGAGTGATTGTTTCAATCTCATTATTTGTCAATAAATTTACTTGTGTAAAGTTGCTTTTCTTCTACATATGTAATTGAATCGCATTATTGTATGTTGTCTTTTTTATCATTTCTTAAATTAATGAAATTGGCTCAAGGAAACCCTCGCATGCGCATTGCCAGTCAAGTACACGAATTGTGGAAACGAGAGATTGATATATGTCTGCACCGTATTGTTTTCGTCAACGCCGTTCATTGGGAAGATACGTGACTAGCAATATAGTAGTGTAATATGTGCAAAAGTCTAATTGGGCCCTAAAACTTTTGAACGTGCAATGGCCTTAACGTGTTAAAACATGGTTGGTCCTGAAGCATTCTTATCATTTCAGTTGGAACCCTGCTAATTTTAACCGTCGGTTAATCTAACCGGACTTTGTGAAATTGGCCCTAAGGACGGCAACAAACAACGCGTAACGACGATCCAAGACCACACTTTAAGCCCGTGTCAGACTACGCATTGAAAATGGAAGATTGAAGATTGACGATTGGAATTTGACTAATCAGAACAAAAAGGATTAAAATTTCTTTGCTCTGATTGGTCAAATTTCAATCTTGAATCTTGAATCTCAATCTTCAATGCGTAGTCTGATACGGGCTTAAGACGATCTTAAATATGAAGCAATTAAGGAGCAATTGTTTTATATTGAATATACTTGCAGTAGACTACGAAAAATATGTTTTTCCAAGAAAATAATTGGTTTTTTGCTAATATATCATAAAAAATTAATTATACAAGTGAGCGATCGCGAATATTATAATAGAGCAAGCGAGGAGCAATTATTCTACCAAAAAATCGATAGGAAACATTGATTAAACTCTGAGATATAGTTATAAACAATAAAGCTGTTATATTATGTTTGAATATTCTCGCCGTTGGCTGCTGAGCCATATAGTTCCGATAGGCGACCGATAGGTGGCGACAGCGTCGCTTTGGAAATGATTAATTTATTAATTTTCAATAAAAAAATGCAATAAATCATGAAAATAATGATAGAGCACTGTGAAGGAATTAGGAAGCAATCGTTTTATGTTATATTATGTTTGAATATTCTCGCCGTTGGCTGCTGAGCTATGTAGTTCAGATAGGCGGCCGATAAGTGGCGACGGCGTCGTTTGGGAAATGATTAATTTGTTAATTTTCGATAAAAAATGCAATAAATCATAAAAATAATGATGGAGCAATATGGAGCAATTAAGGAGCAATCGTTTTATGCTGGATATAGTTGCAGAAAACTATTGGAAATATGTTTTTCAGTGAAAATGATAAATTTTACGTTTTTTGTACATATTTAAAAAAATATTAATTTTAAAAGGGGAGCAATTGTGGATTCTGACAGAGCAATTAAGAAGCAATTGTTTGAGTTGTTATTTAATAAAAATTATGAACTTCCAGCGCCAACTTATTTCTGGTGGCTGACGGTCTTTAAGAGGATGTCGGATTGTTCTGTTTTACCGACAGAATGCAAATATTAGTTAAAATGCAAAATATTTTTGTTAATTATAGATATTAATAAATCCTTTTCAATAATTAAAATACACATAGTAACGTAGTGCGGATTATATGATATCATGTAAAAAGAGAAAAAAATCTAAAATTGTAACGCGGTCACCTCGCTCGACGCTCGGATCGG